GAGAGAGAGAGAGAGAGAGAGAGAGAGAGAGAGAGAGAGACTATGTGCTGTGTGCCTGCACTGTCTCAGATATTGTTAAGTTTCAAACCCAGGACAAATGGCTGAGGTGCCTATTTAACATATTAAAGTGGACCTGGCCTTCAGGTTCTCCCAGCATCCCTCAGTCCCTACTTGTTACAGAGTATGGCTGGCATACCCAGCCCTCCATCCTGAACCTCCAGTCTAGGGGCTGGGCTGCCCTTTCCACAGAGGCTCATCCAGATATGATCCAGACATTTTGGTTCCCCGCCCCTTTTTGTACTTTTGACCTCCTGGCTGCTGCACCTGGTTCCCTCTCTCTCCTCTCTCTATATGGCTCAGCTTGGCCTGGTCATGTTCACTCTGGACTCTCTCAGATGTCTCTGCCTCTGCCTATACTTTCCCTTTTATCTACAATATACTTTCTCCTCCACCACACCTAGGAAGTCTTCCTTTCCTTTTCTTTTTTTTTCCTTTTTTTTTTTTTTTTTTTTTTTTTTTTTTTTTTTTTTTTTCATTCAGAGCCACAGAGTCCCCAGCCCTATCTGATATCTGAAAGCCTAGGCTGCTTGGTTCTGACCTTAGTAGTGTCCCAGTCAGGAAAAGAATGATATGAGTCACCTTTGCAAGGGCCACTCAGGTTATTAGTGGGTGCCACAGGCCTTCTCCAAGGTCTCTGAATTACACAGGCCCAGGAGTACCTGCTTTGAGTCCACAAAGGTATATCTAAAGGAAACCTTGTGTTGGTCACTCTCAGCCAATTTGATATGAATTAGAATCACCTGGAAGACAAACCCTCAACTGAGGAACTGCCTCCATCAGATTGGCCTGTGGGCATGTCTACGGGGCATTTTCTTGATTAATGATTGATGTAAGAACCACTGTGGGCAGTGTTACTCCTAGGTAGGCAGTCCTGGGTTATGTAAGCAAGCAGTCTAAGCAAGCTATGGGGAGCAAGCCAGTAAGCAGTGTTCCTTCATGACTCTGTTTCAGTTTCTGCCTTCAGCTTCCTGCTGTGAGGAACTGCCCTACTTCCCTGTGACCCATAAGTTGAAATAGACCCTCCCCTCCTCAAGCTGATCTTGGTCTTGATGATTTATCCCAGCGACAAAAGGCTCACTAATCCATACCTAAAACATAGCTCAGACTAAATCATATCTAGTTACTATGGAAAGGAAGAAGGAAAGCAGAAGGCAGGGGAGAAGGAAGAGAGACAGAAAATGTCCCGGGCATCTCTATTTGTTAGCACTCGTGTTAGCACTCAGGTACTGGTCTGTACCTGAGGATTCTGAAGATGAAGTCAAAGTCATCATACAAAGATTGCTTTTCTCCTTTGCAAGCACTTGCCGTTGGTGTGCATTCTAGGCTTTCAGACACCATGTTGCTTTTTCCCACTGAGGCAGAATTTAGGAAACCGTACGGCCAGGTTTCTTTGTACAGATGCTTTGCCAGTTTCTTCTGTCCAGCCCACTGGGTTTATTGCTCTCATTTAGTTTAACTCATCCTAGTGCCTTAACTCCAGGTGCTTAAAATAGAGTTTAATGTTTTCATGACACCCTTTTCATTGCTTGCATTTAGAACTTGGAAGCAGAGGACATTTTATTATGCAGTTTTTAAATTTTGTTCTATGTGTATGAGTGTTGGTTTGCATGTATGCCTATGTTCCTTGTGTATGCAGTTCCTGTAGAGTCTAGAAAGGGGCTTCAGAATCCCCCTGGAAGTGGAATTACAGGTGGTTATGAGCTGCCGTGTGGGTGGGGGAACCAGACCCAGGTCCTCTGCAAGAACTTCCATTGCTCTTAATTGCCAAGGCATCGATCCAGGCCCTATTGGGAGCTTTTTATTCTGAACCTCCTCTGCAGTGTTAGAACCTTCTAGGATGGAAACAAATCAATAGCATTTGCTAAGCACACAGTTCTCAAAAAGGGCTGTTCATATGGAAAATAAATGAGGTCCAGAACACTACATCCTGTTGGTGGAATGGAGGCTTATTTCTCCTGAGGAGCCTCATTTCCAGGGGGCTGAGTGGAAGGGCCTTGAATGATAACCCAGCTGTTTACATTCAAGTGAGTTTGAGGGCGAGCAGCTCCTCTTAGTGGTCTCTGCTATTGAATCAAGGCTGAGAACACCTTGCTTTTTATGACTTTGGGGTTTCAAAGATGTTGACTGATGCCTTTTAGTGATCTGTGACATCAGGATGTCAATATTGTGTTATGCTGTCTGCCTTCTGCCCTTCCAATTAGCCTTCCTTTCTTACACTTGCATAGTCTTTGATTTTTCAAGTTCTTTATAGTTCACTGGCATCAGATACTGGTAGCCAATCCAGTGGAAAATTCCACTGGAGGAGAGCATTTTTTCCAATGTGAGACAGTTAGCTATTAATTAAGGCTGGTGCATGCCCTCAGAGCTCTCTCTCCAGAGATCACATCAGATCATGAGAGTGTCAAGAATAAAGGATTTCTGTTTGGAACTTCCTCTTCTGAGCATAGGATCCTGGGGTTGGGGATATAGAGTCCTTAGCATGTGTGAACCCTGGGCTAGATTTTCAACATCTCATAAAATGGTATGGTGGTCCATGCCTGCAACCCCAATACGGGAGAGGCAGAGACAGGAGGATGAAAAGTTGAAGATTATCTTTGCTAAATAGTTAAAGGCCACACTAAGCTACATGAGACTTTTCTAAAAAAAATAAAACAATAAAATAAAGGATTTCTCTTCTTGGCTTTCTTTTTTTGGAGTGTGTGTGTGTGTGTGTGTGTGTGGTGTTGTGGCCAAATTCTGAACCCCCCAAAATCACCAACAGACCCATTCCTATGTAAAAGCAAAGAGTCTTTTATTGTTTAACAAGCTAACCCCATTAGCTTGGGGCCTTCATCCATCCATTGTGGCAGATGGCTAGAGAAAGACCCGGAGATGCCACCAGGCAGGGTGTTGGGGGTTAGATATTGGGTAGAGCAAGGGGAGTGTCTAGGGATATGCAACAGTCTCAGTATTTTATGCACTTCCAGGCTTGGACAAACTGTCCTGTGTTGATTGGTCAACTGGTTGTTATGGCCCATAGGCCCTCCCAAGGTGGTTGCTATGCTCTGCACCTGATTGTCGTGTGCTTGTACCATAAAGTACACCCAGAGCTATAAAGCACAGCCCCACCAGCTAACTTCTGATTGGTTTCTTACTGTGAAGAGGGTATCTGACCTCCTAGTGACTAGGGCAGGCCCAGCAAGGTCAGGCAAGCACATGTTGAGTCTTTTCTGCAGCCTGCCATGGCTGCTGAAGCAGGGGGCTGGTGTCTTCATTGTGTGTGTAGGAAAAAAAAGGAATAAGAATTTACTCTTAGCCAGGCGTTGGTGGCACACCCTTTAATCCCAGCACTCCAGAGGCAGATCTCTGTGAGTTCGAGGCCAGCCTGGTTTACATAGCTAGTTCTAGGACAGCCTCCAAAACAATACAGAGAAACCCTGTCTCGAAAAACCAAAAAAAAAAAAAAAAAAAATTACTCTTTTCCTTTCCCACAAATATCAATCAGGCCTTTGTTATACATGCCTTTCACAAATTGTTTTTAAAGAAATTGGTTTCCAGCTTTATGTTTGGTTGTATGTCTTTGCAATTAGATTTTTTTCCTCTATAATCTTAATCATCCTGGAATACACTGAGCACTCTTGATGAGGTGGATCACCCAGTCCCTGAGAAGAAGAAGAGGAGGAAGAGGAGGGGGAGGAAGAAGAAGAAAAGGAGAAAGAAGGAAGAGCCACATAAGCCACACTGTCTTAGTCAGGGTTACTATTGCTGTGATGAAACACCATGACCAAAAAGCAAATTGAAGAAGAAAGGGTTAATTGTCTTACACTTCCATATTGCTGTTTATCATCAAAGGAAGTCAGGACAGGGATTCAAATGGCAGGAACCTGGAGGCAGGAGCTGATGCAGAGGCCACAGATGAGTGCTGCTTGCTTCCCCTGGCTTGCTCAGCCTGCTTTCTCATAGAACACAGGACCATCAACCCAGGAATGGTACCACCCACCATGGGCTGGGCCCTCCCACACTGGTCACTAATTGAGAAAATGTCTTACAGCTGGATCTCATGGAGGCCTTTCCTCTCTGCTGAGGCTCCTTCTCTGATGACTTTAGCTTGTGTCAAGTTGACACACAAAGCCGGCCAGTACACACATCTACAATGAGGATTCTATAAAGATGATTGACCAATTAGAACCTGGTGACTACGGAGAACTGGAATGTCAGATGCAGAGCTAGACTCCCTTGGGCTATCTGTGGCTCCCTTAAGAGCCATTCACTGCCCATGTTTGTCTGACCTAATATGGCATAAATCCTTGGGGGATGAACTTATCAGACGACTACTAGCTTCTACAAATTCAAAAGCTAACTCTGTCATTGGGTAGCATATAAAACCTATAGCAGAGATTCTTCAACTTGCTGTAACCTGTCTTTATGATGTTTCCACTAATGTTCTTTGTTCTGTTACTATAAAAACTTCATGAGCCCAGATACAGGATACCATGATCTTGGCTCAGTTTCAACACCATAGTGCCTATCTGCAACCAAGAAAGACAGGACCTCTACTGTTTTAACAACAATTGATGGATACGTTTCTTTTCTTGCTCCTTCTCTAGAAACCATCTGGGAGGGGCCCCACACTGATTCTAGCCACTTCAAGAACCATCAAAGTGTCTAAAAGCAGACCTTGTGTTCATCAGTCTTAAATCCAGCCTTGGAACAAAACAACAAAAACCAATAGCAAAAGCACAAAACCCCAAAATGAACAAACAAACAAAAGTCACAAAACCAAGGAGGAACCCAGTGAATGGATGCTTTCACAATCCTATCAAGAAATTCTCATGGACTTTGGTTTGGATGCTGGAAAAGCGCCCCTTGTTTTGACCTCTCTTGGTCCCTGTCTAGGCCTTGTAATACTCACAGCTCTTGCCTGTCCTCTTTCACGTCTCTTTCCAGGTACCAGTCAGGGACCCCGTTTCCTCTGTCACTTGGCTGTTATATGAAGGGAACTAGTGATGTGCTTGGGGGACTTTTAGGTAGACCTACTGGAGCCACCCTGGATGCTACACCTTATACACCCATTCACCAGGAAGAAGCCAGATCAGTCATTGTCCCAATACCATAATGGCAGTTAGAGTTACCTCTTCAGAATGGGGAATGAGGAGAATAGAATGTACAAACAGATCAGGCAGTCTAGGATAAAAAGACCCCAAAGGAAATTAGCTAGCTTCTTTCTCAGCTAAAAGCCAGAAATATCCTTGGGCCTCTTGGCAGCCTTGTCCTTGCCAGAGGCCAGAAATACCAGAAGTGTTTGAGGGATCTGATTCCTAATCTGATCCCTAAATGATTTTGGGTTTACCTTTTTAGGGGGGTGAGGTTAGAGTGGCAATTGGGCCTGTTTAGAGATAAGAATCTCTGTCCAAATGGAGACCTAACAGTTTTCCGTTTTCATACACTTGGAGCCTGCTTGCTCTTTCTCTACGGCCTCCCTGCCCACTGCACGCTGCTTCTCCACCATGCGTCTGACCCCCACATCAGCTTATACAGCATGGCCGCCCTCCCACCTTCCCTCCCTCCTTCTCTCCCTCTCTCCATGCTTCTCCAGGCTGTTGCTGAGAGTCACAGCTTGCCTGCTGTGGAGACTTTTAAACTCTAATAAAAGTGTCCTAGAGCTTCCAGAACAACAGTAAAATCAACCACCCTTTATGAAGCTGCTGCCACCGTGGAACGTGGTGTTTGGAGCAATTGGAATCTGCTTTCCTGGGCGACAGCCACTCATAATTAACTCTTGAGTAAGCCATCTCCCGTTTTCTCTGAGGTGAGAACTGGGGCTTGGGTGTTTGAGTCAATAGCCATGCATTAGCATATGCTAAGATGATTCACCACAGTTAGGGGATGATGATGGCTCAGAGGATGAAGACACTTGCCACCAAGCCTGTGACCTGAATTTGATCCCTGGGATCCACGTGGTGGAGGAAATGAACTGACTCATGGACATTTTCCTCTGACCTCCACCAGCACACTCCCCACACTCAAATAAACAAATACAGTTTTTGTTTTGTTTTTGTAGATGGTGTAGGGGAAAAGAGAGCTGATTCATTTCCATGGTGTTAGCCTTCTGCAGGAAGGGCTGTGACCTTTGCAAGTCATTGGAGCCACTGTCCTGTTGATATTTTGGGGCTGACAAGAAGCGAAGCCATTTTGGTAACTGCTGAGGGCACGAGCTGCCCGCCTGCCCGTGTTGCTGGAGAAACATTCTCCGAACACGCACTTTCAGCAAGCCCCAGGACTCTGCATCAGCACCAGCAGACACCACATCTCAGCTTAGGATGCAGGAGGCCCTGTTCTGTGTGCTGCCTGTCTGGTGACCAGGAGCAGTGACTCAGGTGTCAGAGCTGGCTTGGCACAACCTGGGTGACAGCTCCTACTGTCTGGCTACCTTTCTATGTAGACAGTGGCACAGTCCTCGATGTGAGGTTCACACAAAGCCCTGTTTTCAAAGCATACAGCAATTCTGCACCACAAGAGATGCAGGGGAGGTTAGGCACCCATCATTTCACATCCACACAGTGATCTCCCTGCTCTGAATGTGCTCACTGCTCCATGCTACATCCTGGGCATTTATTGTGGGCCCAGCCCCGTGCTAGACCTGGCAATCCCGTGTCATGTAATTTGACACAAGCTAGAGTTATCTGAAAGGAGGGGCCTTCAATTGAGAAAATGCCTCCAGGGCATTTTCTAGCTATAGGATATTTTCTTAATTAGTGATTGATGTGGAAGGGCCCAGACCATTGTGGGTGGGGCCTCCCCTGGGCTGGTGGTCCTGTAAGCGGAATATCAGATCAGGTCTTCTTCTTCCTCTTCCTCTTCCTCTTCCTCTTCCTCCTCCTCCTCCTCCTCTTCTCCTCCTCCTCCTCCTCCTCCTCCTCCTCCTCATCATCCTCTTCTTCTTTCTTGTTTTCTCTTTTTTTCTCCTCCTCCTCTGCCTCTTCCTCCTCTTCTTCTACATGGTCTCCCTATTATATAGCTCTGTCTGTCCTGGAACTCTATGTAGGCCATGCTGGCCGGAAACTCACAGATATCCACTGCCTTACAAGTGCTGGGATAAAAAGGTGTGCACCACTACACTGTACCTAAATTAAATTCTTGACCCAAAGAAACAAATAGGGGAGAGAGCAACCTTTTCAGTTCTCCCCTTCTGTTCTCCTCTTGTCTCTATCCTTTCCTTCCTTCCTCCTCCTCTTTCACCCCCCATCTCCATTGTCTAGAAAATGAAGAACTTCTATGGCCTTACCCATTGGAGCCTTGCTAAGAAAGTTCATCTTAGATGAAAGGCCTTGAAGTAAACGGGTAGTTTGCCAGGTTTTGCTTGGGCATGGCTGGCTGTGACTGCTAGCATACGCATCTGTTTACGATGACCCTTTTATTATGGAAGACCATTGGAAGACCATCAAATTACCCATTGTTCTGTGGACTGTGGTATGGAGCCTGAACCTAGGCTAGTTATGTGGGCTGAGTGGTTATTGCAGGACAATCATGCAAAATTGCCAAGGGCATTTTCATGTGAACTTTGTCAGCAATTTCTTGATAAGAATCTCATAAAGCAAGATCTCCCCACTGCCCCACCCCATACACACATCCACATAGACTTGGCCCTCTCTCGGTATGGCTTCTCTATTGGCAGATTCCACCAGGCAAGGTTAGAAAATATTTTTTAAGACTTGCATCTTCACTGAATGTACACAGATTTTGTTTATTTCATCATTCCCTAGTTGATGCAGTACAACTGCTGATTTACCATTTGTAAATGGTTTGGCTTTATAGGTTGTCTAGAGTTGATTTAACATAGACAGCAGGACATGAAACTACTCCACCATGTTATTTAAGGATTTGAGTGTTATGGGGTTTTAATATTTGCATAGGATTCTGGAACCAGTTCTTCATGGACACCAAGAGACGTCTGTGTAATCTCTATGTGCATATGTATGTATATATACCTGCATGTATGTATCTTTTATTTGAAGCACTGCCTCTTATATATAGCTCATATGGTCCTAAAGTTTCTGTGTAGCCAAAGATGACCTTGAACTCCTGATCTTCTGACTATACACCCAAGGACTGGGCTAGAGGCATGAACACAATGCCCAGCTCTATCTATCTATCTATCTATCTATCTATCTATCTATCTATCTATCTATCTATATCTATCTATCTATCTCACCATCCATCAGCTACCACTTGCTTTTCTCTTTAGGAACTATGATATTTTAAAAGAAATAATAGTTCATCCGAATTCACACCACAGCTAGATGAGGATTGGTGACCTATAAGATGGTTTGTTTCCTCCTGGGAACTTGTTACTGATGCGGGAGCCTGCTACCAAAGTTCTGGTGTGAAGCGCCTGTGGGAGTGTCCTGCCACACTTGATACCAGCCCACAGTTCAGATGTGAGAGGAAATGAATCATCATGCCTGTTTGACTAACTTGGTTAATAGGAATCAGAAGCTCATATATCTAATAAGTACTGGGTCACAAGACCAGGTGATCTTAGTCTGGGCAGCTATAGCAACATACCTTAGACTGCATAGTTTATAGGGGACAGGTATGAATTGCTCATATTTCTCGAGGCTGAGGAATCCAAGATGATTTTGCGTTTGGCTGGCTGGTAAGGGATTGCTCTTTGCTCCGCAAATGACAACTTATTGCTTCCCCTTTACATGGCAGAAAGGGACAGGGAGCTTGTCTAAGAATCTTTTATGAAGGCATAAATCTCATTCATGAGAGCGAGAGCCCACATGGCTTAATCATTTTCCGTAGATGGCCCTTTCTTCATACTTACACACTGGGTACTAGGTTCCAAGTTTGCATTTTGTATGGGGAGGGGGAGACAAATGTTTGGGGTGTAGCATTAGTGTCCCTCAAGTGGTGAATCAAGGTTCATCGACGGAATAGAATCCTGTCTAGCAACAAAATGGATTGGGCTATTGTGCATGGGAAAATGAGTGAAACGCTAACTTTTCTGAGTAGACGAGGCCAGGTGAAAACTCTAATACCGAGTGGAGGCTAATCTTTATTGTCAGCCTCATGGGAGTAAGGATAACCTGGGAGGTAAACATCTCCAGAGATGCTGAGCTGAGGTGGGGAGACCCACTCTGAATGTGGGGGACACCCCTTGTCTTAGTCTCAGAAAGTGACCTAGCACCAACATTCATCTCTTTCTGACTGAAAGTGCTGCTGTTTTCTTGCTGTGAAGGACTCCACCTTCAAATTGTAAGGGAAAATAAACATTTCCTTTCTCATGTTCTCAGGTGTTTTGTGATAAGTAAAGAAGTTTCTCCAGAAGTTAGAACAACCATATGACCCAGCTATTTCATTCCTGTGCACACACACAAGGGACTCTGGGTCCTCTGTATCCATCCCTAGGGATGTTTGCCCATTCATGTTTATCACTTCTTTGGTCATGATAGTAAAGAAATGGAATCAGCCAAGATGTCCATTAGCAGATGGATGGGTAATTAAATTGTGTTCTACACGATCTATACAATGTGAATTCATTTGCCATAAGGAAAAATGAGTTCATGCAATTTATAAGAAAGTGGATGGATCTTGAAAATATTAATTTAGGCAATCCAGATTTAAAAAGTCAAGTCACAGCTGGGCGGTGGTGGCACACGCCTTTAATCCAGCACTCGGGAGGCAGAGGCAGGTGGATCTCTGTGAGTTCGAGACCAGCTGGTCTACAAGAGCTAGTTCCAGGACAGTCTCTAAAGCCACAAAGAAACCCTGTCTCAACCCCAGTCCCCCCTCCCAAGTCAAGTTACATGTACTCTCTCAGGTGCATATCTTGACTTTAAGTGTGTGTGTGTGTGTGTGTGTGTGTGAGAGAGAGAGAGAGAGAGAGAGAGAGAGAGAGAGAGAGAGAGAGAGAGTGTTTGTGTGTGTGTGAATGTGTGTAGATCAAATGACCAGAGAGTAGGTAATAAAACATATGACATAAAAACAGATAAGAGGATGTGAAGGGTAGAACAAGGGGTGGCAGGAGGTTGAAGAAGAAAAGGCCAAAGGGTTAACAGAAAGAATTATGTTTTAAAATCCCACTATGACACCTAATATGTTATGTGCAAAATTAAAAATTAAAATTAAAAATGGAATTTACTTAAAAATTAAATTTTTAATGATGTGTCCTAACTTGAGTTCTGAGAATTGAACTTGGGTCCTCCAGAAGAGCAACAAATGATTTAACCATTGCACCACCTCTTCAGCCCACCTTCTTATGACTGAATAGATGGATGGAGCTGGAACAAACTTCATTTAGTGAGTGTGGAGAACTATGAAGGGACAATCATTGAGCCATAATTTATGAAAACACAGGATAATAAAAATGAACACTTTTTTTTTTTTGTTTTTGTTTTTACTCTGTTGTCCAGGTTAGCCTTTGAACTCCTGGAGAACCCCCTGCCTCAACAACCTGTGCAATACTGAAATTAAAGGTGTATTCCACCATACCCAGCTAAAATCAATATATTTTGGATGGAATGTTCTAATTCACTCGTTTTAGCCACTAAATACGAGCAAGTATTTCAATAGTGGGAGCTCATCTACCCTTTGCCTAAAGTGGGAAAAGGCCACAGCATCATGGTTTTGTGAGCATCTGTACAACACACCAAAGGATGAATCCTCTTGTATCTGTGTACATGATTGCAGACACTGGAGTGTTATAGCTGAGGGTGACCTTGAACTCCAGTTCCCCCAGACTCTACCTTCTAAGTGCTGGTGATGCATGCACCACTGTGTTTGGTTTATGCATTGCTGGGGATTGAACCCAGGGTTTTATTCCTGCTAGGCGCTCACTGTACCAACTGACTAGACTAGACTCCAGACTAGATCTCCAGACTAGAGTAATTACTGAGAAGTAGTTCCTTTGAACATATGGTCAGGTTGGGTTAGTAAGTAGGCCAGGAAAGTACAATCAGCTTTTGAGCTAAGGCTAGCATAGTCAAAGGGGATTACTCCAAAGGTGATCTCTAAACTTTCTGCCTGGGAAGATACTGGTGGCGGGAGAAGGGATCCTTAATTGGCTATTAATGTCAAGCATGACATCACTCTCCCTGGTAGATTTCTTAATTCATCACCCTTCTTTCCCTCCCATGTCCGTTCTAGCTTTGGGGTAATCCACCCCCCTGTGATTTGCTGAGATGGTGTGGTTTCAGGTTCCAGAAACTAAATCTGTAAGTATTTTGAGTGAGAAGGGAATTTGCTGGAAGGAAGTCCTGCCATTTCAGGGCATTACTTTTGAAAAGGGTGAGGCCTATGCCCTTTCTTCAACATGATGCCTTTAGTGTCACTTGGGTTTGCCAAGACATTTCTTTCTGTCTCTCTTCAGAAGGCCAGCTTCCTGTGCAGTGTGCTTGAGTTGAGAGATGGTTTGCAGAGGTCTTTAACTGTTTGTCTGTGACTCCACATCCCACAAAATGAAGATTTAAAAAAAAAATGTTCAGACCCTGCCTTAGACTGGCTGGATCATAACTTGTATCCACTGAAAAAAAAAGTACTGCTTTAAAAAGTGCTTCCAGTGGGGCTAGAGAGATGGCTCAGTGGTTAAGAGCACTGGCTGCTCTTCCAGAGGACCCAGGTTCAATTCCTAGCACCCACATGCTAGTTTATAATCATCTGTAACTTCAGTCCTCCTCTTCTGGCCTCCAAAGACACAGGTGTATCAGCAGTGCACAGATATACACATTAAAATAAAGTACTTTTGGGGTGTTTTTTTTTTTAAATGTGGCCTTGGGTACATTGTCTTCAGTACCCAAGTCAACTGTCCAACCAACCAACCAAGAGCTCCTTCAGGAGTATGTCAACTCAGTAAGGAGGCTTAAG